TCCGAAGCAACTTTGCATACTTTCTGCTTTCTGGTTGTATATCTTTTTTTTCCTTACATTTTTCATGTATTGTATTGAGGTTCATAAAGGTAATTTCCTTCAAATCAATAATGTATTTTAACTATATTCACCCCGGTTCCATTCATCTCCTTAGTCTACACCTCCTGTTACACTCCTTCCTTTCCCAAGTCCCCCTTCTATTTTCATATCCTATGTATATGTTTATATATGTTCGAAATAACATTAAATATGTTATTTGTTTTCTCTGTGTGTGGCTTTTTTGCTCAATATGATTTCCCCTACTTATATAAATATTTCAGCAAACAGCATAATTTCATTCTTCTATGTTTAAATAAAATGCCAGTATATACTACCCACTCAATTTTTGATAGATACCCAGGATTACCTCATAATGTTGGTACTCCAAATACTGTGTCAAAATCTTATCTGTATCTCTGCCATGTTGACTTTGAGTTATTTGAGTACATACACAGGAGTGGTAGAGTTTTGTTGTGTCATCCTCTAGTTCGAAGAGAAAACACTATACTGAGTTCCATGGTAGCTAGACCAGTTTGTATTCCTACAGTACCAGCTAACAGTTCCCTCTTCTCCATTCTCTCTAGCATTTGTTTCTGTTTTTTCAACAACAACCATTTGGTCTGGGATGACATGAAAGCTCTATGTTGTTTTAATATGAATTTTCCTGATGCCTAGTAATATTGACTACTTCTTTCGTGTTGGCTGGTCGTTTGTGCTTCATCTTTTGAGAAATATCTGTTCCTCAGATCATTTGTTGACTGGGATGCTTGATTTCTCCCTTTTTAGTTCCTTATGTGTTGTAGCTATTAACCCTTTGGCAGACATATAACTGCAAAGGATTTTTATGTTTTCCCCCCAAATTCTATGGGTTGTCACTTCACTTAATAATTGTTTCTTTGGCTACTCAAAGGCATTTGAATTTCATGCAATCCCAAGCGTCAATTCTTGCTAGGTTTCCCGAGCTTCTGGAAGGAGGCCTTTGCTTAGGCTGTATCTTGAGGTGTTTATTCACATTTCCTCTGAGAGTTCTCAAGGTCCAGGTCTCGCATTAACATCTTTGATCTAGGTTGATATGATTTTTGTACAAGTGAGAGGAAAGGATCTAACTTCATTTGCATTTTTAACTTTTCAAACTAATATTCAGTTTTCCCTGCATGAATTGTGGAAAAGGCTATCTTTTCTCCAATGTATGTTTTTGGCATCTGACTACATAACCTTTTTGATAGCCCTTTTTATTAACGCCAAAAAGGAAAAAACAATGTTAGTGGCATACACCTGTAATCCTAACACATGAGAAGTTACAGAAGATTAAGTCTAAAGCCAGCTCATGCAATGTAGTCAGACCCTGTCTTAAAAAACAATGCCTCGATGCCTAAATTTAATTCAGGTTCTGCCTGTCAGGATTAAATTACATGGTGTTTTCCATTTATACCATCTTGGTTAAATAATAGATCCAATAAAGACCCATCTCCTAAATCATTATTTAAATACATCATAATAACTGGTTATTTATACATTGCGCAAACCCTGTCACAGATAATAGCATGCTCCAGCAGAATTTAAATAAAAAACAATGTGTTCCTTACTATTAAATCAAAATAAACTGAAAATTACTAAACTAATCATATAATAAAACTGTTATCCTCAACACAGAAAGCCAGAGCCATATAAGTATAATACAGATTTACCCATCTTACAAAATAAATACTGTATTTTATAGATGTGAAAACACTAATTCTTTTTTAATTTTATTAAAATTTCATTTTATTTTTTGAGAATATAATATAATTACATTATTTCTCCTTTATTTTCCTCTATCTAAACCTTTATATGTGATCTTCCATCTTCTCTTTAAACTTCATGGATTCGTGGCCATTTTAGATTTGTTGTTGTAACATATATGTATGTGTGTATATATACACACATATATTCTTCTTTAATTTTATTTATTTTACTATTATTTTTATGTTCATTGATATTTTGTCTGCATGTATGTGTGTTAAAGGGTGTTGGATCCTCTGAAATTGAGTTATAGACACTTATGAGCTGCTTTGTGGGTGCTGGGAATTGAACCCAGGTCCTCTGGGGGTGAAAAGTAAAGAAGAAATTAATATACAGCACTAGGAAAATTGAAATAATAAAAAGGATAAGAAAAGGAGCAAAAACTCAAAAGACAGCTAGTTACTATCAAAATGGCTTCTCTAAATGCAACATATCAATAATTACATTAGGTTTAAGTGGACTAAGTAACAATGGATTCAAGATCAAGAACTCACCATATGAAGCTGGGCGGTGGTGACGCACGCCTTTCATCCCAGCACTCGGGAGGCAGAGGCAGGTGGATCTCTGTGAGTTCGAGGCCAGCCTGGTCTACAAAGGGAGTTCCAAGACAGGCTCCAAAGCTACAGAGAAACCCTGTCTCGAAAAAACAAAAAAAAAAAAAAAGAACTCACCATATGCTATGACAGAGATTAATTAAATGATAAAACTTATCTAAATTAAATAAACCCAAAATCTATAACCCAAAATAAACAATTAAGACAATTATCGTTACTTTGGGTAAATATGTACTCTCCCCAACAACAAAAGATTATTCTATCACAAACTAAACCTGTATATAAGCTCAGAGCTTCAACATCTAAGAGAAAAAAAGAACCATAGAATTTAGGGAAACAGAAAATTTTCTGTTCATATTTAAGTATTTTACTTTCTTTTTTTTTAAATATTTATTTATTTATTATGCATACAATATTCTGTCTGTGTGTATGTCTGCAGGCCAGAAGAGGGCACCAGACCTTATTATAGATGGTTGTGAGCCACCATGTGGTTGCTGGGAATTGAACTCAGGACCTTTGGAAGAACAGGCAATGCTCTTAACCACTGAGCCATCTCTCCAGCCCCCTTTCTTTTTTTTAAACTGGTTTTTCAAGATAGGGTTTCTCTTTGTAGCACTGGTTGTCCTGGAACTTACTCTCTAAACCAGGATAACTTCAAACTCTGAGATCTACCTGCTTTTGCCTCCCAAATGCTGGGATTAAAAGTGTGTGCTACTACATCCAACTCATATGGGAATTTGAATGCATATTTCCTAGTAATCGATTAATGTTGAAAAACTGTGTTTAAAATATCTAAAAACTATAACCAACCAAATAAATTATAATGACTTTTAGAGAGTTATATATCCCCAAATGCAAAGATACATCTAACTCTAGTTGACACAAAATAGTCATTGAGATAAGAATGTGGAGATACAATAAAACAGACTCAGCAGTTTCAAAGAATTGGAAAATTACAAGACATCTTCTATAACACAACAGAAGTTATACTATATCTAGAAAGGATATTTAAAAACATACTAGCTAAGCCCAAGTCATTCCTACTTTCTAATATCATTCATAAAAATGTTTAACTCTAACATAAAATTGAATTTTATTCTAGGGTATATGTATATCTCCAATTACTTATATTTTTTCACAGTCCATTTTAAACATCAATAACAGAAAGTTTACTTTCAAGTAGGTTTCAGAGTAGTTCCTTACTTAGTGTTCATATTTTACATCAATATCCATGGTCTCATAATTTCACATATTTTATAGTATTTATCACTCATAGTTTTATTGGTTCTGATTGGATTACCATGTGTGTTTGTCATGAAAGCATAATTTTATAGTGCATTACTGAGATGGTATGCAATATAATATATAATAACATATAACTGAGCTCTTTACAATTCTAATTTTCCTTTGTAACAATCAAACTAGAAAAATTAAAACTTAAGAAATACACAGAACTTATGCCAATTTTTAAACTCTCCTGAAGAGTCAAATAAAATTTACTTAAAATGTGTATACATACTGACTCAATATTTCAACTTTATAATTAATGTTTAAGTACAAAATATTTTTGTAATGGGTCTTTATTGAGAATATGTTTATAACATTTACTTTCTATCTAAATATAGTTTGCTTAATGAGTTGAATTTGGACTCATTTGTAGGATTTAGTACCTGCCATAGTAGTTCTGAAAATTGCTTGTCAAGTTAATTCTAAGGAATTTTATTATTCACTGATGCTGTTGAGTGAAAGGAGCTTCACAATATGAAAATAAAGGTATTTATTGTGTAACATGCTAATTTTCTTGTGGTTTGTGTATTAAAAGTTTTGTTTTCTTACAACTGTATCTTCCCTCTCCAAGATATTTAAGCTAGCATCATAAAAGCAGTACTTTTTATTGTAGTCACAATGGTTTCTCAAGCACATGTCATCCCTGTAAGAAACACAATGGCAGAGTGGTAAGACAGGAAAACACGTCTCCCTCAAATAAGCAAGTTAGCTCAGTCAAGATTCATTGAACTCTGACAGAGGAGTGCCTTAAAATTAAAAGCTACTTTTGATAAAGTAAATATATGTGAAGAAAAAGTTCTCAGCACCTTGCAGTAGATGTTAACCTATTTGAATATTGGACCCAAGGCCTGTTGTTGAAACTTCCATTAGCTTCATTTATAATAGAGGGTAATCAGGTTCCCAAAAAAAGAAACGCAGACATTCATTCATACACAACTACTTAGCCACTAACCTGTTTCTTTTCTTTTAAGTTGTAAAATTAAGGGCTTTTGTATATAATACACACACACACACACACACGTGTGTGTGTGTGTGTGTGTATACTCTTTTTCTTAGTTTATGCCAGACACTAAACTTGTCTCTAGAGTTTTCTAATCCCAAGTCGGTCATGATAACTCTTAGGAGCTCTCACGGCTATCATTGCCCACACTTAGTATGCAAAACCACATAATTATAGAGATGAAATAAATTCCTTAAAATCATGTAGCCAATAAGGGAGCCCTTCTGGTTGCCACCACATCTAGTATCTTTGTTTTATAACTCGGTTCCTTGATTATGCACCTTTCCCTGTCTCTGTCCTAACCTGTCCTTCTCACCTTCTTCCCCCTGTCCATGCAGGCCCGTAACCAAGGTGTAGACTAAGAAGTAGAGCCATGCTTCACACGGCCAGACCATGCTGGCAGCCGTTCCTGGGTCTGGCTATGGTGTTCCTCCTCGTGGGATCCACCATCGGCTGTCCTGCTCGCTGTGAGTGCTCCGCCCAGAACAAATCTGTTAGCTGCCACAGAAGACGTTTGATCGCCATCCCAGAAGGCATTCCCATTGAGACCAAAATCTTGGACCTCAGCAAAAACAGGTTAAAAAGCGTCAATCCTGAAGAATTCATATCATATCCTCTCTTGGAGGAGATAGACTTGAGTGACAACATCATTGCCAATGTGGAGCCCGGGGCTTTTAACAACCTCTTTAACCTACGATCCCTCCGCCTGAAAGGCAATCGCCTTAAGTTGGTACCATTGGGAGTATTCACAGGACTGTCCAACCTCACCAAACTTGACATTAGTGAGAATAAGATTGTTATTTTGCTGGACTACATGTTCCAGGATCTCCATAACCTGAAGTCTCTAGAAGTGGGGGACAATGATTTGGTTTATATATCACACAGGGCCTTTAGCGGACTACTTAGCTTGGAGCAGCTCACCCTGGAGAAGTGCAACTTAACAGCAGTACCAACAGAAGCCCTTTCCCACCTCCGCAGCCTCATCACCTTGCATCTGAAGCATCTTAATATCAACAATATGCCTGTGTATGCCTTTAAAAGATTGTTCCACCTGAAACACCTAGAGATCGACTACTGGCCTTTGCTCGATATGATGCCGGCCAATAGTCTCTATGGTCTCAACCTCACCTGCCTCTCCATCACTAACACCAACCTGTCCACTGTCCCCTTCCTTGCCTTTAAACACCTGGTATACCTGACCCACCTTAACCTCTCCTACAATCCCATCAGCACTATCGAAGCAGGCATGTTCTCTGACCTGATCCGCCTACAGGAGCTTCATATAGTGGGGGCCCAACTGCGCACCATTGAGCCTCACTCCTTCCAAGGGCTCCGCTTCCTCCGTGTGCTCAATGTATCTCAGAACCTGCTGGAAACATTGGAAGAGAATGTCTTCTCCTCCCCTAGGGCTTTGGAGGTCCTGAGCATTAACAACAACCCACTAGCCTGCGACTGCCGACTCCTCTGGCTCCTACAGCGACAACCCACCCTACAGTTTGGGGGCCAGCAGCCCATGTGTGCCGGGCCAGACACCATCCGTGAGAGGTCATTTAAGGATTTCCATAGCACTGCTCTTTCTTTTTATTTTACCTGCAAAAAGCCCAAAATCCGTGAAAAGAAGTTACAGCATCTCCTAGTGGATGAAGGACAAACAGTCCAGCTGGAGTGCAATGCTGACGGAGACCCACAGCCCGTGATTTCCTGGGTGACACCCCGAAGGCGTTCCATCACCGCCAAATCCAATGGAAGGGCCACTGTGTTGGGTGATGGCACCCTGGAAATCCGTTTTGCCCAGGATCAAGACAGTGGGTTGTATGTTTGCATTGCTAGCAACGCTGCTGGGAACGACACCTACACAGCCTCCCTCACTGTGAAGGGATTCACTTCAGACCGCTTCCTTTACGCAAACAGGACCCCTATGTACATGACCGACTCCAATGACACCGTTTCCAATGGCACTAATGCCAATACTTTTTCCCTGGACCTTAAAACAATACTGGTATCTACAGCCATGGGCTGTTTCACATTCCTGGGAGTGGTTTTATTTTGTTTTCTCCTCCTTTTTGTGTGGAGCCGAGGAAAAGGCAAGCACAAAAATAGCATTGACCTCGAGTATGTGCCCCGAAAAAACAATGGTGCTGTCGTGGAAGGGGAGGTGGCTGGACCCAGGAGGTTCAACATGAAAATGATATAAGGGCCCACCACACACCCTACTGTCTTGTGTCCCTGTTGGTCATGAGTAAGACGTCTGACCACAAGGTTATCAGGCAGCTTCGTGCAGCTGTCCCTGTGTCAAAGCAGGGTTCATGGAAGCAGGAGGACTCCTTCGGGATACTGGCCGGTTAGAGGCAGGCAGGCATGTGTCACAGCCCTTCACACAATGGGATACTAAGTGTTTGCATTGCAGATGTTGGCATTCTGGGGATCTCAGTAAGGAACCTGAACCTTTGGCTCATGCTGATGGACAACAATTCAACATTTTCTACCACTGCAAAAACAAAAGAGAAAAATAAAAGAGAACATCCTACAGTGTAGGGTTTACATATTAAAAAGACACATTTGTCTAAAAACATACTCTACAGTAAGATTTGTATTTATTATTATCATTTGTTAAAACCTTGCGTCATACAATACTATTGGTTCAATACCAAAAAGAGATCAATATATTCTTTTTTTTGAAACATATATGCTGTATATGTTTTAAAGCAATATGAATGAGAGGTCGTGCTTTTAGTTACTCACCAGTATAGATCCAAGTGTAATTTCACCTTCCTTTTACCCACCAATATCTGAGGCTAGATCCCTGGAATAACAGGCAGAGATGTGTTGAGATGTGTATGTCTGATGTAGGATGCCAAGAAACAGGACCCAAGTCAAATCTGCTCAACTCTGTTAACTTCTGTTACTATAAATAAAGGCATGTGCCTAGTTTTGATACAGAATGGAATATTTTTTATACATACACTACCAACCTGGACCAGTTTACTGTAACAGAAGCCTTTGGGTTTCTCCAGAAGGTGGTATATCACTAGATGTACCTGTAAAATGCAAGGTAGGTGTCATTCATAAAAATAATCCATTTAGCTAGCCCTTAGTTTTACTTCCACCAGTCACTGTTCATGGGTTAATGACAAATGGAAAAAGAAGTAATGATTATATTTAATTATTTGGCAATATTCATCCGTAGTTGCTATCAATAATTCTGTGGTCCAAAAGCTATCCGAATAAGGAGTTTTCAGAAGTCAACAAAAAGCAGGGTGATCCAAGCACATCATGACAGCGATGCAACCAATGATCTCTTTCAAATGTGACAGCTACCGGCCAGATAGCTACAAGTTAAATCAGCACACAGCACATGACACTTCCAATTTCTCGATTTAAGTACTATATACATAGTATGACCACAATTAGGCAACTTCAAGATGTTTCCCTGCTTCCTAATCAAGACTTTTCATTTCATGTTGAAAACTATGTTGCTTAGATAAGAGATATCTGTTTTATGTAAAGCAGTGAAAGAAAAAACAGTGCAAATTTAAAAACGAAGTTTATGTTCCTTCACCAGGGAAAAGCTCAGCTTATGGCTCTACAAATATGTAATGTTGTGTTGATTCTTTCACTTTCTCGACCTGAGCATATTTGCCCAATTCTGTTGCTCTTAATTTTACCAGTCCAAAAAAAATTGTCATTATTATTATCAATGATCTGGTTTAAGGAGGCATAATTCCATTGGCTGAGTTCTGGATAACTTCCAAAGCGTATATTCATACGCTCTGAAAAAAGTGTTAGATGCAGATTGCATTCCTGAAATGACAGCATTTAATCAGCATGCACCAAGTTCCTACATTTTTCACGTTTTGAAAGGATGTGGAGCGAGTTCCCTCGGGGTACTTGGTAAGATATGTGAAAGATATGTGGGTCTGACTCTCAACGGACTAACTTCTTTAAGGGTTTGAAAATATGAAGAACTTTAAATGCTGAAAAAAATGAAGAAGAACTATCAAATTGGCCTCAACTTCAAAAAGGATCGCAAGATGTTTTGCAAACTAGGTGGGCATTACATATAAACTCATTTCTCCTTTTCCAGGGGTAGGAACTGAGAATTCCCTTTTTTAAAGACTGAAGAATTGCCTGCTTGAGTTACAGTTAATTTAGCAACCCTGAAGATTATCACAAACATTTTAGAAATTCGTTTTCCATTTATGTACTTATTCATATATAACAATTTGTGTCAGCCTACACTAAATTCTATAAAAATTTCAAATCCTAAGAAGTTAAATGCTATGTTCTTACAGTTAAAATGAAGAGATAGTCTTCTAAAAGAGAATCTATTTCATTTTCATTTTGAAACACCTTAAAATGTGTGTACTTGGCAAATTATGTGTGCATGTATGGGGGGGTTGGCCAATTGTTTTTTAAAAAGTGTTTTGTTATTCTATTCTCTATCAAAAATTATAAAATTTGACCAAAAACCTGCTGAGGAAAACGAGGTTGGATTCAATTATAAGATAAAGTATTTAGCTCAAAAATTTATATGTTATTCTTTCAAAAGAAGATAGATTAAATTCTCTGGGGGCTTTATTCTCTGATCCGTAGAACAGTTAAGATATTATTAAATGATCTTCCAAAATGAAGAGGCACTAACTAATAAACTGAACAAATGGTGCATTCCATAGTGACAAATTATAGATTCAAAGTGATCTAGGCAAGTCTAATACACACTCTCAAAAGTCCTGCCTTTACTACGTTTCACCTCATGATTTCTCCAGTGTGTTTTGAGCATTACCTGCCACCTTTCCTATTTCATTGTTAGCATCTTCAAAGATTGGAGCTCCATGAAACCCCCAAGCAGTACCCCGCTGAAATGTTCTTAACCCGATAATTTTAGTAAGAGTACAGTTATTGTTGGAATAACTAACTGCTCAGACCATGATAGCATATTTACCAGATTTTTTTTTCCAGGAGAATTGGCAACTTCCTGCCTAAATCAGTATACAGAAGGATTTATACAAAATTGAATGGGCATCTAATTTCGCATTTTCTCCCTATTAATGCAAATCATCGGGATTCCCAAGGCACTGTGATTCCACTGACCATAGCACTGGGGCTTTTGCGTACAGTTTCACAAAAGGATGGCATTAATTTTTCTTTATGGTCATTACTGTGTTACATCAAACACGACCTTTTTAAAGAATAACTGCTCAGAGCAGTATTCTGGCCAATCGTCCCTCTCGACACTTCCATTTCTTAGTTCTTGCTTTATGTATCCTAAGAAAAAACACAACTATTTGACCCAATAGTTGACCAGTAGCTTGTATGTTATTAAGCATTTTCAAAAAAAGCAATTACTCTTTTCAGCATTAAATATAAGAAAATTCCTTGACTGAAGCCCTAAGTTGATCATGGATCCAAATGTTGGTAAACAAATTACTAGATGAATATAACTCACCCAAATAGTATGGGTTTGCTGTGCTGGTAAGCATTTTTTTTTTGCAGAAATCCTTGTATTACTTTCATTTCCAGCCCCTTTTCATTTCCATAGCATTTGAAATCGTGTGCTTTTCAAGTACTTTCAAATTCTGAGACTACAGTCCAGAAACTGTGAAGCCTCAAATGTTCATAACGGCATTTGTTAAAGCTCTGGGTTTGTTCATCTTTCTCAGAAATTTTGCTTATCAACTAAGGTTCTGTTACAGTACAAATGGATTCAGAATGTATTCTTTTCTCATCGTTCTGTCAGAGAATCTGTTCTCAGTTCACGTAGGAGTTCAAAAGTCACAATCTTCTGTGACTCTTTCTCTAAAAAGAAGGATTATTTAAATCTCATCTCCACTGGAGTCTGACGTATGTCACTTTCCATTCCTCCAGTTGGAACAGATATATTTCTGGATTAGAGGCACCGAAGAGGGGGTGTGATCCTAAAGAAGTAAAATTGTGTAGAGCCCCGTGTAAATTAACTTTTACTTACAGGGTCTTCCTTCATCTCTCTGTCAAAGCATTTCTTTTATCTTCAGGGGCTGTGCACAGAACTGTGAAACAACACAGAATGTATCTTGAGGCTCTGTAGAAAAGAAAAAATAGATCATTTTCAACCGGGAAGACTCAGACCTGACAGAAAAGACATCAAGAATTTAAAGAAAGGCTGGAGGGAGACACGGGGATCTATTTAAATTCTATTTCCTTTATTGCTCATTTTTATCGTCTTCTCCCAGCTAAGAAGAATTGGTGGTTGTGCTTCTTCACAAACTTCTATCATTTCTACTCTTCTCTCCTTTTCTGAGTCCTTGCTGTCTGTAGCTCACATGGGATTCCAAATGTATTCTGTGAGGGTGTGGACCAATTAATTTAAACACCAAATCAAAACAATAACATCAAACCTTTAGGACCAAAGCGATCCATTCTACTTGGTTAGGGTTAAGATGTATTATTTTATCACTGACACGAACATTTCCTGGTAGAATAATATATCATATGCCTAGTATCTCTTTGACTTTCCTCTATTCGATCCCATTGATCTAATATCCTTGATATTTTCTGATGAATTTTTGGAGTTATTCTGCCTTTGTATAAAAATTGGGAAATAAAACACCATTTTGCATCTGCTTTTCTAATTTTTTGAATTTGGCTAGGTGGCAGAGGTGTTTCTTGGTACATGACAAACACTTGATTTGAATCTCTCTCCCTCTTTGCCTTCAGAAACCATTCCCATGTAAGCCTCCTCACATGGGAGCCAGCAAACTATGATTATTGGGGGAAGAACTTTTGCCAACACAGGCCAAGGAGAGGAGAGATGAGGGCTTATTTGTTGTGGTCTTGACTAAGCTGGGACTTAAACCTCTGCCTACAAGGTTAACGAAGAAAGGATGCCGTAAGTCACCAATTAATGGCAGGCTTTCTACTATGAAATTGGTCTGTCCATTAAAAAACAGTAAATGTAGCTGTGCAGTCAGCTTCTCAACAGATGGCCAAGACGAAGCCCTCGTGACAGAAACAACCAAAGATGTGCCTAAGATGTGTGCAAGCAGGCTAAAAGCTGGAGGTGAACAGATACTTCTTGTTCAAATATAGGAATCTAAACAAGTTAAGGTCCCATGAGTTCCAGACTGCTGTTTTTCAGTTTGCCTCAACACTCCTTCTCTCTCACCCATGCTTCCTGCAAGACATCCTGAACAGAGCAGAGGAAGCAGCAGTGTGGGCAGCAGACTTCCCCTAGCATCAAGGAGCAGATTCCAAGGCCCACTAGGCCTTGTGACTGTGCACACCTCACTATTGGCAAGATTTAATTTAGAAATAAGGCACAGTAGGAGCTTAACGGCACTAATAATAAGCTAGAACAACAAATGTATTTTAATTTCCGATTGGAAATTGGCCACCAGTGGTAAATCCCCAGGCAAAGGAAAGCCTGGGTAATCTCCTATCTTCCTGGCTCCTTTTTGGAGGCCGCAACCGAAATGATCATTCCTTTCCAACTTGTCCGTTCCTCATGTCATGTCTCATCAATGAAGACTCTCTTTAGGGAGAAGTCTTCTTTCATTGGAGCTAAGAAATCCTTGGATAAGTGTTAAACTGGAAATTGCCTCAAAAAAAAAAAAAAATAGAGGGTAGGAACAGGAAACCTCCAGTCTTTCTCATACAGCACTAGAAGTTAAGGCTTCTCACTCACATAATCATAATCTGGCAGCAACCTATCAGTCTTCTCTCTCTCTCTCTCTCTCCCTCCCTCCCTCCCTCCCTCCCTCCCTCTCTCTCTCTCTCTCTCCCCCTAGAAGCAGGTGGGCTGATATAAAGCCAACTTTAAACAGAAAGCTTTATTTATAGTCTTCACAGAAAGAAATGAGCTGGTTTAATCAAGAGAACACTTAACATTTTTAAGAAAGGCTCTACCTGTAAAATACTAAACAGCTTTAGAAAAAGAACAAAATCGTGACTGTGTTCTTTAAATCAGTTAAGATTTAAATTTTAGCCGGGCGGTGGTGGCGCACGCCTTTAATCCCAGCACTCGGGAGGCAGAGGCAGGTGGATCTCTGTGAGTTCGAGACCAGCCTGGTCTACAAGAGCTAGTTCCAGGACAGGCTCCAAAACCACAGAGAAACCCTGTCTCGAAAAACCAAAAAAAAAAAAAAAAGATTTAAATTTTAATTCCCATACTGTTCTAAAGGTAACTGCCCATGCCGAAATTGGGTCTAAGAATTTAGCTTCTGATCTAGAAGGGTCAAAAGGAGCAGACATTGACTACATGTCCCCTTCCTTCATTGGGTTGCACGCCTCCTATTCTAAATTGCTTTAACATCCTTATTCTGCACCGCAAAATAATTGAAAAAATCTATAAGCTGTATGATCAAGAAATACTAATGAAACTGAAGATTTAACACAGACGTGTGGAATTGTTTCACATGCCTTATGGCAGTATGTCCACTGACACACTCAGCTGTATGCATATTTGTGTGGCAAGACAAGTGAAATGGGGTTATGAGCTATAAATAGAGACGATGTTGTGGTTATTTGACAGGAAACACCTTTTTTTCTTCCCTGGCTATAAAATCAGGTACTTTGTGCCTACCTGGGCCATTTAGTACACAATATACTTGTCTTTACATGATGTATCCGTAAAGTATGGAAAGCCCCCTATCATAATCAGTGGCAAAGTTATTGTTTATATATACGTATATGAATATGCGGGGTGGGTGGCTTTTTTTTAGTGTTTAAAATGAAATTGTTTTAAAAGCTGATAACTTGAACAGGAGAGAAAAAATGAAGCAAACTTTATGTCTGTACTTATTTAAATTTTTTTTATGAAAATCCCACTTAAGGACTGAACCATATTGGACATTACTAACCAGAAGCCTAACAAAACTTTTCTTCAGATGCCTGAAAACCTGTTTTTGTTCTTAAAGAAAATTAGTGCTAAAGACAAAAGGGTCTTGATTTAGATTTATGTCTTCTTGTCTGTTATTACTGCGTAATTATCATGGGCATGTGAGGTATTTTTATATTTATAAACAAGTCAACTTATCAACATGAAATGTTGCAAAACATATTCTGTTTCCTGATAAAAAAGGGCTTAAGCATCTAATATCTCAGTTAAATATGGTGTGGTATTGTTTTTAAAATGAAATGTATAATTTTTTTTTAAAAAAAGCAATTTGAGTCCTATGGGAGATATCTCATTATTGACAGAGGTAGGTTATAGTAACTTCACAAGCAACATAAGGCTGTTGGAAACATGAGCACCAGACAGATAGAGGACTGTGTTCAACAGTGAAGGAAGATCATATCCAATTAGATCAAATTCTGATGATGGAATGAGTCGCAATCAAGGAGAGGTTTGCTCATCTTCAATATTACTAAGAGGTCATGGATTGACCTTCCAGCACTGAAATCTACATATGGTCAGTCATACTATAAAAACATTCCACTTTAGTAAAGATAAGTCCTCCATTGCTTAGAAAACTGTCAAAATCATTTGGCTTTTAAGCATCCACCAAGCCATACACACAACAGCATCATGTTTTTCCTAGCCTTTGCTCAGCTGGATTTTCATAATCCAAGATACAGTGCAAAATACAATACACAAAGAAATAAAGCGGACTCTAGCATGTAGACGTGTTACAATGGGGAAAAAGATAATTTTGTCTGGTATCGAGGAAAGAATGAATTGAAAAATCTTCCCGCACAATCTTACTGACAAAAGAAAGTCCTTCTGCTGCATACCTCAGGACTAGACTTAGGGT